CAGGCTTGATGTCGTGTCTTGCTTCCTGTGTTCTGGATCGATGGTGAGAACCTTGAAGCCCTGCAGTAGTATCTCGCTAATCAGAGTAGGTGGTGGTGGGGAGCATGGCTGACCTTCAGGGTTTGATAAAGTCTAGAACTAGCGCATCGAAGCAGCCTATCACGCTCAAGCAACCGTCTATCGTGGGAAGCGGGGAAGCATCCTTTCGTAGTTGCAAGATAAAAAAAGTGCATCGTGATTCAGTCCAAGCAATGTTCCATGTGACGTCGCCGCGCCCAAACTCCAATGGCACAAAATACCGACCCGGTAAGCTCTTTCGAGCTGGGCCCTGGCGATCTTGGTGGATTAAGAGGCCAATGGTGTGCACGCGTGACGTTGTGAAGGTGCCGCGTCTGTTAAGGTCTACGGCAATCCAGCGTGCAGCGTGCATCCGACCAACGCGCGTAAGGGCCGGTTACACTTTTCGCGGAAACGGCTGGTTTGCCTTGGTGTCTTTGTGCGAGTTGCGTCAATTCATTCGTTAAGTCAGCCACGTTTTGGGAATTGTTCACTTCGGCCCACTCGTCGCCTACATATGTGCTGCATCTGCCCCTCCTTGAGTGACAACCTCGAGCGAAGCAATTGAAGAGACGGCAACACCCAAAGTCCATTACATCATCCACACTCTTCTGCACATCCTGCCTCTATCAAACTCACTTGACCTTCTGCAACTCTCAACAGCGCCTTTTTTTTTTTGCTTTGTTGCTCGATTGATCTCGTGCAGCATTCCGAGCAGCTGGAACCTCGGGCGATCCAGGCTTATCGCATAGTCGAGCTGGATAGAGGGGCACTCCTCCCACTCCCACCCAAACATCGTCGCTTCAACAGCACCAGAACCACAAGCCAAGCGAGTCATAACACGTCGACGTTGTTGTGTTGTCAGGCAGCAGCAAAGACACACGCCCGAGCTTTGTCGGCACCCAATCGTCAGCGCTGGAAGCCGGATCAATCACATCTATTCACCCTGTCCCTGTCACATAACGGGTAACGGTACTCGCCCAAAGTGGTCAGCGCGAGCCAACGACAGCAACTTTTAAACAAATTGCGACCCTTGACCCTTTTCTGTGTCGACCGTCCAACAAAGAATCCACTCGATTGACACTCTGCGCCTTTCGCGAGCAGCTGCCCCTCTGACGAACGTCACTTGCGATCCGCAACACCACAATCACCACCACCGCAACCATGAACCCGCACCAGCAGAACAAGGTCGATGTCAGCGTACGTCATAGCCGCACAGAAGCCATGCGCGCCCTCTAGGAATATGTCTAGCTAACAGTGATTTAGAAAATGTCGGAGCAGGAGGCCAAGCTCTTCCGTCTCTATGGCAAGCTGCCCAACAAGAAGGACTTGCTCCAGAACAAGTTGAAGGTACGAGACCCTGCGAAACATTCAGAGCCCTGCTAACCATGGCCGCAGGAGCGCAAGTACTTCGACAGCGGCGACTACGCCCTCTCCAAGGCCGGCAAAGCTGGTGACGTCGGCGTCACCCAAGTCGGCCGCGAGCACCCCAACCCCGAAAAGATCCCACACATCGCCCCGCCCACGCCCACCGGCCAGAACGGCAACGGCAATGGCAACGGCCACAGAGACAGCGCCACCGCCAACAGTCAGGGCGAGTTGGCAGGCAGCCCCGTCAAGGAACACACCTTCCTGCACCGCGAGACGAGCCTGAACCGCGAGACCTCCGCGTCAGACTTTGAGAACAACGAGAACGTCGAGGAGGGCGGCGCAGTCAAGGCATAGACGGCATACACCCGTTTGTCGCTAGCACTTTTGCGCGCTTCCCCTTTGCTTTCCTTTTGCTGCACTCATTTGGCGCAACCTTGGATGACGGGTGCCCAAAATGTATACATACGCACCCACCCTTTTTCGAACGGCCTGACCCCGGTTCTCATCGTCATTTACGGAGTCGGATGTGGCGTTCCCGGATGAAGCGAGCTTTTCCCATCACATGGCCGGCCGAGCCTTTTTTGTATCGGCGCCCACAAACGCCTGTCGGCAAACAATTGTTTCCTTTGCATATGAAGCTGGGGAGCACAGGCATGTTCTTCACTTCTTTGTGTAGTATGTTTGATAGGGGATGAGTGGGTTTTGCAGAGACCGGAGCATGTTCCGGGTGCTCTTGCAAGGTTGCCAGACTCGGATCTTTCACGGCCGCGAGCGTGTATGCTTGTTTGAGTAGAAGATTATCGTAGCAATATGATTACTGGAAAACTCAGTTTTGGCTGTTTAATTGCATGGTGATGACTTCCAAGGTTGCGCATGTCTTGAAAGTGGATGCGCTAGTGGATATTAGAGCACGTGACTCGCCGATGCCTGCCCCATCAAGATATCTCAGCATGCGCACCTACAACGAAAGCTTCTCAGCATCTCACAAGCTTCTTCTTCAAAGCTTCTACGTACTGTTTCTACTTAAACCTTCTTACTTCCACAATTAATCACAAGCCGCTGCCCCACAGCAGCCGCATCCCTCAGCAACACTACTACTACAAGGCCGCGCCTATCCTGGCCCGAATTGAGGGAAATTCCTGAGCATGCTAAACAAAACCACAAACACGGCACTACATACTGCCCACACCTCTTCAAGCACCTCACCAACACCATGTCTCTTCTTCAACCTGCCTGCCGAACTACGCAACTTCATCTACACCTTCTCATATAACTCGCTCACAATCGAAGCCTCACTCAAAAACAGCCTTCGCATCACATCCTTCTTCGCGATCCCCAAGACAATCGTGCACAAAAACAACGCGATATCACAACCCCGAAAAAAGGGTCTGCCGATCTGGTTGATGACGTGCACACAAATTTTGAAAGAAGGCATGAACGTACTGTCAAGAGAGTACGCATTCACCTCATACCACCCCGGCCTCGGCCTCGTCCGGAGAACAGATCTCAGGGATCTAGCCGCGGATGACGTGTTGAACAGGCTCGTCTTTGCGGCTGTCAAGACAGTAGTGTTCAACATGAGGGCGTTAAGCTATATCACAGCAGCGCACCCGGACGAGCTAGCACAAGATTCTGATACCGAAGTCACGACTGAATTAGGGCTTGCGCGGTGGCATGTAGACCCTACACTGGGCAGACAGATGGCTATATCGGGAGCGCGCAGGGGGCAACAGCAGAGGACGGTGGTGGTTAAACTTGGGCCTTTTGATGAGGAGATGTTGAACGTCCTGCACCAGCCTGGTGCAGCTGTTAAAAAGCTGCGCATGTACTGGACTTACAACGTTTTTGGCGTGTTGCCGGGTGATGAAGTGATTCTTAGGATGAGGCGTTGGAACGCTGGGTGGGCAGATTGGAACGTGTGCGGATTAGAGTGGATAGTAGGGTGGATGAGTTGATGGCGAAAGAGATAGTGGCGGGATTGGGGGAGCGGGCGGCGAAGAGACTCGTTGCTAGAGGAGGCGGGGAGCGTGATGGAGACGGAGAGACGGTGGAGGATGGATCAAGCGTGAGATGGACGGAAGAAGTGAGGAATCGTCGCGATAGACCGTTTGGTCATGGCCGCATCAAGAGGTATGTTACGGTTGAAAGATCAACTGGATGAGGGAGATTGTTCACGAGTTATACATACTTCGGGAGAAGCTTCTCGTGCCGGCCACCAATGCCCCCAACTACACATCTTACGCGGTCAAGCCGAGATCTCAAATCTTCCGCTCGATCACCAACGTCGACTCCCAATCGCTGAGGTGGATAGGACTAACTGCCGGTCTCACCTCCTTCCTAGACCAACGCACGCCTACGTCCTCTCCTGCAGTGATACCCACGAGTCGCCGTGAGCATTTCCTAGCAGTCTTCATCATGTTTTGCGCAAAGAGCCACTCCGCTCCTCCATACCTAACATGGACGCAAACCTTACGGAACCGTCCACTCCACCTCTCATCAAAACTATCCATCATCTCTTTTTCGCCTTCCAGCCACTCCCCACCGATCAACGAAGTTCTACACCACATACGATCCCAGTATAAGTCCAAACACGCGTTCTCTCCGAGTCCACGATGAATACAGTCGAGAAGCTCGGCGTCATCCTCTTTCGCTTTCCCGAGAAAACGTGCAATTTCGCCTCGTGTGTACTTGGGACGAACAGTATTGTGCAGTCTCAACCGCACAGTACGACCAGGTTGGAACACAACGCGATCAATGTTGGCGCTGCCACCGTAGGTCAGACTGTAGAAAGACCGTTCCGGCTTTCCGTATAACAAATCTGGATCTTCCCACACAGGCACCGGGTCATCGAACACGAACGTACGCCATCGGCGGAACACATCCATTGCTTCGGCGTGGATCTGTTTGTTGGCTAGCAACCATTTGGGTAGACCAGTGATTGCATATCCGGGATAGTAGCGGGAAGGAGTCTCGAAGTCGCGCACTGAAGCCTGGACGCTCGTCTCTTTGCTGGTGGTGAATGCGCGGGGGGAAGCGCCGAATACGTAAGCGTATATCTGTTGTCGAAGCTCGGCTGGAAGGTCGAGAAGGAGGTTATGCGATGAGATGAGGGCTGATTTAGCCGGCGCGGTGGACTTGGATGTTTCGAGGTGGTCGAGGTTTGAGGTGTCCTCGATGCTGGCGCGGTTTGTACATGTGGAGCTCATTGTGGCTTCCGAGTTGGCAATGAGTTGATTTGAGGAAGTCAGGGGAATTTGTAAGATGAGCGGTGTTCTCGACTTTTTGATCGGGTCACGAAGAGGGTAGCCCAGGCAGCATTCGTCACGCCTTCCTTCATTACCAGACAAGGACCGTGCCCGTGATCACGAGAATATCTAGCGCTGGAACTCGGATGCTTTCGCATATATAATCCGTTATCTATGGATCTTCTGACCTACGCAGGACGGACAATCAACGATCGACGCTCGCCCATCACCCAACTCGACCTCATAGCTCACTTATAGCTCGGCCTGGTTGCTACAACTGGTCGTCACCACTCGAATCTACTACCCAAATATCATTCAGACGACGATATGGCTCCTACCAAGAAGGCGCCGTCCAAGAAACGCGCTTTGTCGCCGGCAAAAGGCACTCGCTTCTCGAAGCGTCTGATGACCAAAGCCCGAAAGGCTCGGCCTACTGTCTCGGAGATTCCGTCTCAAGAAGCAAGCGCCCTCTTGAATCTCCCACGCGAAATTCGAAACCAGATCTACTTGGAGTTACTTGATGGTCTGAATCTCACATTCCGCGTGGATACGCTCATCATTGTTGCAACACAGGACACCGAAGGTTACCTAGGCGTTCGGCGCTTGAAACCAACCAAGCGAGGCCTCCCACTATGGTCGCTGTCCAGTCAGCAGATTTGTTACGAGCTCCTAGACATAATCGCCCGCACCTACGCCTTCCAACCCTTTGGTCAACCAACATCACCCGAAAATGAGTTGCCTGGACTACCGAACTCGCTTATCTTCACTCCTGGTGGCGTAAGAACTGTCAAGCTGGTTCCCGGATATCACGCTCCGGAATTTTGGATTGAGAACAACGATATATTTTGTGATTTGACTGCTCGTTTCCTCGAGCTGATGGACAACCTACTTCTAGAGGATGCGCGTTTGGAGCTGATTTGGTACCACGTCGAGACCGAGTACTATTATAGGAACTACCAATCTCACAACCTCGCCCGTCGGTGGGAAGAAGACTGGCGGGAGAGATTTCATAAAGTCAAGATTACTGTCGTGGTTAGGTCAGATCCTGAGAAGGGTGGCACGCCATTGTCGGTTATGGACGATGCGGAGAAGTGTGCAATGAGGCTTGTCGGTATGGGTGGGGCTTCGTCTTGGGACGATCTGGGTCGTGTCGATGCTTGGAAGCCCTGGACGCCTTTTCAGCCGGACTCGGTGTGGGTGCGACATGTGACGACCGTTGCGCGGAAGGTGGAAGCAAACGCATCGCGGAAGAGCACATAACTGTGTATCGTACCTAGATCAGATACAAAGGAGTCACTGAGGCTGTATCGATAGTCGACAGACGTCGACTGCAGTTCCAGGCAATACAGTCGTCCATATTAACGCCTCGGTCTCCAACGGGGATATGACGCTAGCCACAACCAGTTAGCTCTATACCGATACGACGGCTACTTAAACTTCGATCCCACTTGTGAAGCCATGTTTTCTTCTCTCTACAACAATCCCCCATCGCGGCGTACGCTCCAGAGGTCGTCTCACACCTTCCTGTCAGGTTCTCGCCAGATAGCAATACCTCTCAACATGCATCTGCGCAACGCAAAACGCTACTCACCCGACGACGGACCCTACGTCCCCCGTAAGCGCCGTCAACGCAGCACAAAAGAGGATCTTGAACGATCAAGACTCATCACCACTCAGAATGGGCAGTCACCACTCTTCACTCGCCTGCCCCGCGAATTGCGCGACATGATCTGGGAGCACGCCTTCGGTTCCGATGAAACTACCTTTCATTACCGTAACCTCGCCATCGATGCCAAAAACCGAAAGTACCCCTCGAGCTATCTCGATGACCACTACGTGGGCCTTCCAGAGTGGCTACTTTCGTGCAAAACGATTCTTGGGGAAGCGCTTGAACTCTTCTACAGGACGCAGACATATGTCCCAACCACACAATATGGAAGAACAAAACGAAGAGTAAGCCTAACACCAAAAGTTCGCCGCAGAGTTTTCAGTGCGAAATCATGTTATCGTGCACCACCAAACCCGGTGGACCGCAGCGAGTATAAAAACACACTTCTCTTCAACAACAGCATCAAGAACGTCGAAATGACATGGAAAGTCACGTTGAATTGGCAAGGGGCTACAGGCGCCGCGAAAGATCTGTGGTTTGCGCCGGACGAGGTCGACACCATATTTGTGCAATACCTGCAGCGACTCCGACCAGATCTCAAAGACGTTAAATTCGTCTGTGAAGTGGCCTTCTTCTGCCAGGTGTGCAGTTATGTGCGTACGGAAGCGGACCCACACAACAAGAAGAGAAGGGAAAAGCGAAGAAAGAGCCTAGATGGCAAGATAGAAGGACTTCGTGGGTGTTGCAGAGGCCTGACTGTTGAACTTCAGAGTAACGTGTGCGAGCACTGCGAATTGGACAGTTCGGATCAACTTTTCGAGGAGAAGGCGACGGTGGAAGTGTGGGCGAAGGGTATCGTTGGTAGTGATGCGGAGGTGCACGAATGCGATGATACGAGAGACACGTCCTACTATGAAAAGCGAACAGTCTTGAGGACTATCAGGGTCTCCACGCAGAGATCATGAATGCGCGGCAGTGCAGCGTCTAGACTCGGGAGCCGATTACAGCGAAGAAAGCCAGGCTATCTACTACCAATGCTAAATATCAGCAAACCCATCATCAAACCCGTCCCGCCATCCCCCCTTTACTCCCCTCATCCGCCCCATCCCCCACCCCCTGCTGTTCAGGCGCCCACTCGCTATCCTCCACACTCTTAACCAACTCATGAACATCAAGCCTCAAATCCACAATTTCCCTCCCATTAACAAGATCATTCTCATCCGCCCTCTTCCTTGCCTCCTCCTCGTTCCCCGCAATCCCCGCCTTAACATGCCGATGCACCAACCTCTTCCTCGCAACATCAAAGTCCACATCCACGAACCAAAGTTCATCCATGAGCTTCGCAGCTTCATTCCAAGGCGCCTTGTTCAACGAACAGTAGTTACCCTCGAAAATAACGATGCGGACGGATGGCGAGATGGCGATGTCGTTTTCAACGGGGTCTTTGAGCGCGTGGTCGAAACTGGGGGCGTAGAGTGTGGAGCTCTCTGGACATATGGGGTCTCGCAGTTTCTTCACTAGGCTGTAGAAGGAGTCGCCGTCGAATGTGAATGCCGCGCCTCGTCTCGCGTGGGCGCTGTCTGGATCGGGCATTGCGTCGAGTTGTTGGCGCGAGAGGTGGAAGCCGTCCATTGGTATGAAGGCTGAGAGTGGGTTGCTATTGGCGGTACCAGGGGATTGCTGGGCATGTTTCTCGTTGAGTTTGGTTGAGACGATGGCTGCTAGTGTTGTTTTGCCTGGTCGTGGTCAGCGGGTTAGAGGGTTGAGGTTCGTGCGTGTACGGTACCGGACCCTGGGATACCGGATACGGCGATTAGCAAGCGCTTTGATGCAGGGACATCTTGATATTGGTCTGCGGTCTCGTCAACACGTGTCTCTTATTTCCAACTCGTAATTGTCACATACCCCAGACCTTGTTTGCTAGGCGCTCTACTTGTTCTTCCATGTTGCTGTAATCTTGAAATGGCTCCAAATTCGTTCTGTGTCAGAAATCGCGTAAAAGTCTTTATATCTTGCTATCCTGGAGTCGATCGGGATCGCCAGCGTCCAAGGCGGGATGGCTGGCTTTTAGTTCGCTCATCCGCATTTGCAGATTGTGGGGGCTCGGCGGCGTGAGTGGACCGCTGACGTCGCGCGGGAGGTTGGCGGGTTGGAACTGCCAGTATCCTTATTATCCTTTTAGCCCTGTATCATGTTTTGGCGTCAAGAGTAGGTGTTATTCTGTGTAATGTGTACTACCCAGGTATGCTTCGGAATGCCTCCTGGAAAGGTTGAAGTTTCTGTGGCATGACAGGTAACGAAGAAGATGCATTCGTAGTAACATGCGGATGACCAGTCGCTGTAACTGACCCGAACCCCATCGCAGGCGAATACAGCTGTAGATCTTTCGAACGATGAGTAAAGCGAATTGTGATTCTTATCGCGTGCGACTGATTGAAGATGGAAGTAGAGTTCTTTTGGCCATGGCGTAGCGCGTCATCCAATCACAACGCAGCAGGAACCAAGGCCGCTCTGTCTGGGCAAATATGTCCGATATAGCCGGCGCATTGCTGTCGCTGTCAGCTAAGAGCTAAGTCAACGTAGCAGAGATATGCCCCGAAGCCTCGCGCCACCGCAGTCGTCCCGAAGAGCTTGAGAGCAATTGGTCAACGCGTCGTGAAACGCGTCGCACCCGTTCGACGTCATCATGCTCCCGCCAGCTCTCCTCGCGCTCCTCTTCACGCTCCTCCCACACGCGTCCGCCGCTGACCACAAGGTGCCGACTAGCAACGAGTCGCTACTATGGGGCCCTTATCGTCCCAATCTGTATCTGGGTCTGCGCGCCCGCATGCCCAAAAGTCTCATTGCGGGCGTCATGTGGGGGAAGCTGGAAGATGTAGAGACGAGTAAGTAGACACTTTGAGGATATGCGTACAGCGCTAACTAGTTCTATAGCACTCCGACATGACGTGAACCAGAGCGACGGCATGGCCAAGTACGGTTGGATCTCATACGATACACGAGAAGGCGGCCGACAAATGATAGAAGACGTCGGAAACAAAATAAACCTTATAACCGAGTTCATAAAGCACTCTGAAGGCCAGAGCCAGGGGAATTGGGGGTTGCGCATCAAGGGCATGCCCAGGCCTGATGCACCCAAAGACCTCAAGACTACCGTGGTCTTCTACATTGGCATGGAGGCCATGGAAGCCTGTGCCGACTGCAAGCTCGAGGCGCGTCAACAGTTTGAGGCCGATGAGAAGACGGTTCAGGCTGTGAATATGAATATTGCGCATCCGAAGTTGGGTAATGCGGGTATTCATATCCCTGTGCCCATCAATGCAGATGAGAAACGGGAAATAGCGTATATCAAGACGCTGAACGTTACGGAAGATAGGCTGTGGCAGGGCAAATGTAAGTACAATGAATGCCATGATATCTTCAATCCCATCTACCTGTGCTTCGAACCTCCCCATCGTGTCATGAACAACCAGCTGATGAGCATGTGCAAGAAGCCACCTTCTTGGAGTCGCTGAAAGACCAAACGAAAGACCGCACCGAGCCAGGACCAAATGATATCGTACTGCGCGACGCTCCGGGCAACGGCAATTTACAGTTAGTGCAGATGGTGTGCCATGGGGAGTTCGAGGTCAGCACCACGATCATATGTTTAAACTGCGACTAACCTCAAGCAGTTCGACATCCTCTACTCGAGTGATACTGCGAAACGAGCCATGACCTGTGAGTACTCACCTCCGCCATTCTATACGAAGAAGCGCGTCCATGAACCAGATATGCTAATGCCTTCCAGCCGCCGGTCTTACCACCAGTCTAGAGGAAACCCTCGCATCCTTCGCCAAGAACTTCGACACAGTGTTCACCCCGAAAACGCCCTTCACCACCGTCATGCACCGCGCCTTCTCTCGGAATACTTTCTCCAATCTGCTAGGTGGACTAGGCTACTTTACCGGCACTGCCAAGGTCGACACGTCGAAGAAGGCCATATACGCTGAGACCACTGCAAACTTCTGGCAGAAGTCAGTCGACGCAAAGAAGCATACAACACCGGAGACGAAAGGCCCGTATGAGCTCCTCACTCATACGCCATCTCGTGCAGCCTTTCCAAGGGGCTTCCTATGGGATGAGGGCTTTCATCTTCTCCTTGTCGTCGAGTGGGATGCTGATCTCGCTCTCGAGGTGATACGCGACTGGCTCTTAAACCTCATGGATGATGATGGCTGGATAGCAAGAGAGCAGATCCTAGGCGCGGAAGCCGAGGGTGCAACGCCTGCTGAGTTCGTCACCCAATTTCCACACATTGCGAACCCGCCAACGATGTTTCTGGTCATCTCAAAGTTCATCGATATGCTGAAAGGGACGACAAAATATCATGGTCACGACTCCCTGTATCTCGCCAAAGCAGAGACTGGGAAAGCTTTGGTGACGAAGATGTATCCGTACCTCAAGAAGCACTACGACTGGTTCCGGAAGTCGCAATCTGGAGATGTGGAGGCCCATTCCATTCCATCGGCCAACTTGAATGAAGGCTACAGGTGGCGTGGTCGAACACCAGGAACGAACTTCGCCAGTGGCTTAGACGACTATCCTCGAGCAGAGCCTCCTGACATCACTGAGCTGCACCTAGATGTCCTATGTTGGGTCGGTGTAATGG